AGTAATCTCTCTTCCTCTCCTTGCCTGACTCGGAGTTCACTTCACCGTTCTGCGCCCGTACGCTTAAATTTTATAATTATTTTAAAAGTACCTACATAATGACGCATGTATTTTACTGTATGGTGTTAATTTGTATCAACCTCGCTTGATGTAGCATCTGTTGCATTTTTTACAAACCTCAGTGGTTTTCAAATGCACTATTATAATCAGTAGTTGTAAATTGCTTTGTAATATGTTAAATAAATAAATAAAAAAATAAATAATACCGTGAACGTGGAGAGCAACATTTCATTCATCATAATTTGTTTATTAGCAACAGGAAACTAATGAAACCTGACATACATTTGAAGGCAAGACAAGTTACTAAATAACGTATGTAAGGAGAGGCCTATGTCCAGCAGTGGACTATTAAAGGCTGTTGATGTAATGTAATTTGATATAACGTTAAAAGTAAGTCTTTAGAGCTCTAATTCAAAGTGTTAGGAGATATCGAAGTGTTTTTATACTTAATTAAACAATTTTTAAACGGTGCATTATTTTTGTTTTTATCTGTGAGCAATAAATGCTCACAAATTAAAACGAATTCTGAAGTTATGTATTAAAGATGATTATGATCCGCTTAGGCGTTTCAGAGATCCAGCAAACCAACAAACATTACTCCAGCAGGATCTCGAATAACTTCGCAGCCGAAGAAAAGATAAATTGCATTATTTACCTCGTCTAAACAACTAATAATGATACAGCTAATATTTATTTGAATATTCCAATTAGTGTCCGACCGACAGGTTTTTCAGCCGAAACCGAAATTATCATTTCAAAATTTCGATTGTATACTGAAATCGAGTGATTTTTTTAGACATTTATCTGTATATTTACCTACATTCCACTTAAAATCGCCGTAATACGGTGGACACACGGCATTATTTCTAAATCGAAAGAAATTGTATTTAGGTGGGTAGGTAAAAAAACTACGTAAATAGATACTAAAAACCTGTCCAAATTAACTAGATAGGTACCTCACCTCACGCGCAGAGCCGCTGCTAGCTATTAGAGTGCCCGCGTGCAATGTTGAGCTACCCTTTTTCTATGTGCGGAAATCGCCTTCCATTACAACCTGAAACCTGTCAGGTAAAACCTGACAACCGGTGGGGTGATTATGGATTTTATTTCTGATCAAGTACTTTTTATCCTTATTCTAATGAGTTTAGAAATCATTATCATGTCACCGCATCCCGCGGGCCACATAGGTCATAGGATTATGACCCCCAGAGTAGAAATGATAGCTAGTAAAGGTAACGTACCTTAGTATACAATGGAATCAAAACGTTATTGAGCAAGTTGGTGGATGATTCATGAAGTTGACACAAGTATTAAGTAGTACCTGTAGGACAAGACGTACAGGTTTATTTACATTTCAACTCTCGCAATAAACAAGCTAAGGGGAGAACACGTAACAAAATAAAAGGCTTAGTTAAATCAGTCTGTATATTGGATATGTCTGCAATACAGCAAGATACATTAAAGTGAAAACAGATAAGTGATAAAATATGGGAAACAAAAATAGTAGTTAGAATTTCTTCTCTGAAACAAATCTATAATAAAACCATTCTTATTATTACTTAAAGTAGATTCTATTTATATTGATGTTAATTAATGCCTCTAACTAAACAAGCCCTTTGTTGAACATTATTTGTAAAAAATTAAAGGAATTTTTATCAATAATCCTCAACAATTTTAGATAACTTAAAACTCAACAACCTTTTGATAATTTTTTCTTATTTTCTAATTTTGTTTGCCTAAACATTAGTCTTTAACAAAATGCCAAACAAAAGGCTTGCTTAAATTATAAACTTATCTCAATGGGCACTTTTGGTTTAGTTTAATGTTAGTATTTAATCTAATATTGTATTAATAAAAATTACAAACTTATTATTTGTCTAAAAGCAAATTTTAAAATATTATTAACCATCTATAAAAGAACTATCAAATCTAAGGTCCTAGCAAAGTTACTTTTATGGTACAACTCACCTTTCCAACCCTGAACATATAAAAATATCTTTATGTACTTTAAAAACATTCAGGCTCTTAAATAAAGATATCTTTTCTTCCTTGTACTCGATCAGAAAAACAGTGGGGACAATGCATTCGATAGCGGGAGACATCTTTATTTAGGAACCATCGTCCACATCCCAGTGGTTTACTTTAAAATAAACTATAAGGGGACCGTTTTATAGCACACATTTATTAACAGCTAATAATTTTTCGGGTCCATCACTAAAACTTACTAAACCTTAAGTTAGGTAACGACATTGGGAGATGCTTATATAAATCCTAAATTACAACCTGGACCTGTGACATAAGTCTATTAATATTAGTAAAGCATAATATTGTTTTGGATTCCAAGAGTGGGGAGTCTAGAAGCGACATGGAAGCTGGTAGGAAGCAATGCGAAACATAATCATTAAGCTTTACGTGACAGTAACGTGATTCCACAACATCAATCGAGCAACTAAAAGTGGTTCCATGAAGACAATTATTACAAACGACAAAGTATACATTTCGATTTATATCATAAATTGTTTTGTTTCTATTCGAAATTACAGCTATATATTGCACTTATATAAGAAACATTTTACTCAGAAATGCGGATTTTAATTTATTGGCTCGGCTTTTCCTTCATATTAATGTTTTTGCACAATACATTTTAATATAAACACTACTGAAGATGTGAAATCATGAACGACTGGAGTAGAATTTACACAACATATAACATCAAATGTACGTACACACGATCGTAGTGTAGGTGATAATGAGTGATGATAATACTTTTTGTACACTAACAAAACATTTCTTCTCTTAGCGTCAGAATCTGGTTTCGTTTGTCGCATTCAGTTCCGTTAAAAAAATTATGTCTGCTCAGTGCAATTGCCTACTCAATGTAATCGCATCCCAAACACAGTTCCTTTGTCACAGTCACAAGTCGGCTGGTCTGTACACACTTATAGTCACTACGCAGCACCTTCAATAATTAAACACAACTCACCGATACTGACACACTACGTGCCAGTACCGAAAGTTGCCAAGTCACGATCATTATTCAGATTCGACCGATCCATTTACATTATCACATTTTGTTTATTGAATAACCAATATTACTGCAACTGGATATTACAATCACTAAGTTTAAATTTTCAAATTCGGCGTATATCATAAGTGTGGCTCTTATAAAAATTTTTGTTTGAGCAATGATAAGATTTAAAATACTATATTATTCCAAAGGTGAGCCATCCAAAATATTATATTTGCCGTCGAATTTCAAAAAAGGTTTAAAAAATAATTGCGTATGTCCAAAAGCAGATCTAACTATGTTCATGTGTAAGTCGTCAACATACTACATTATCAGTCTCGATGATAAAAATGCATTTTGGCCAAAATGAGAAATCCAACCAGTGCGGTTCTTCCCTAAAAGAATGTCATACAAACGAATACCTCAAGTACCTGATACAGATACTGACGTAACTTATTAATCACCAAATTAAAAGCAACTGAAATGCGAAGATAAATAAACACGTAAGTCCATAATAGGCACTTTATAGTAAACTACACTACATACCAAATAAAGTCAGGTTACCTGTATCAAAGTATGAGTAAATTTTAAAAATTCAGTCTATTTTCTTACTTACATTTTCTTTTATCAAATTCCACAAGTTAAAGCTCTTTTGCATTAGAAAATCGTTCTTGCAACCGATATATGCATAACCACAAATAAGATGATCTGGCCCTTTCAGAAGTTTGGTCCGAATTTATTTTCAATGAATTAAATTAAAAAAAAACTTATGTATGTATGATGATAATTCAAATCCACTTACACTATAAATTCTATGATTGCAACATGGAGTGTTATGTACATAATTTTTAAATAATACATAAAATGAGATCAAACATATATCCAGTCATGTAATCAAATTAAGCTGGAGCAATGAGTGCCAACAATATCTAGACATTTTAGAAAAATAGCTCCCACATTAACTACTGTAAAAATAATATTATGAGGCAAAAACTATACATGTCATTAGTTTATTAGTCGTAGTTAATAAGAATTATTGTTGCCATCAGTTTGGTATAGTTAGTCAATCTAATGCAGTGATTAAATTGCTTTGGTTGTTTTGTTTGTCAAAAGGTATAATTTGTGCAAATCAATTGCAAGTCAGAGATACAAGTAGATTGAGATATTCCTATTTTATACTCTCACTCGTAATTTGGTGGAAATTGACAAACTTTATTTCTGTATCAAAGGACACATTTTCGTCATAGTTAATTTAAAGTGTTATTATTGTCATAACAGATTACAAACGTGTAAAGCGATAAAACTTTATTTGCCACAACACGCTATTATGTTTTGTTATCCATTATTGAGATTGCGCCGTGCAATGGGTCTAACACACCATCTTTGCACCGTACAAATAAACCAAGGGTTACCATAATGCATACTAAAAAATATTTCGTGACCTCCAAATATTTGTTTGTACAACACAAATTATATTTGTCCGTCAACTTACATATAGAGGTGAAGTAATCTCAATGTAGCTGACAGTGAATAGGAGCTATTTACGTATCAGAATTATCCAGAAGTACATTAGGTTACTTAATATTAGAAAACTGCACATCAAAAAAAAGTTTTTATAAATCTTGCATTGTTTAAATTTATTTTGCTACTTACAAAATTTATTACTGCCAACAAACTGGTGCAATTTAAATTTGATTTTCATTTGGATTATGTTGTCCAGAAATTATCCAATTCATAAACTAACTACAATTTAAATATTTATGATAAACTGTCATAAATGATCAGAATTCATCAAATCATCTTAGCTTAAAAAAGTTTTTGTTATCAATATCTTTCTGAACAATTATGTAGCTCTTTTCAGATGAAGATAAGACGGTGAATGAAAAAACCCTCTAGTCCATAGTGTGGTTGACAAACGGTGTGGCGGGTTGAGTCAGTGCAAGGTGGGCGGCGGCGAGGCGGGCGAGTTGCGCGAGGAGAGCTGGTCGGGCGCGACAGGCGTGTGCAAGTGGTGGGCGGGCTGGAGCGGTTGGAAGGCTGAACCCTGAGATGGCCGCAGCGTAAACCCTGGTATCGTCGGCTTCACCATACTCATCGTCTCTGTGTACGCACCTTCGCCAGCTTTAAGGTTTACCTATAACGAACACATGAGCATAATAAAACTTACAATACAAGGTTTTATGGTTTACTGTTGCTGGTAAACTTTAATGTTATAAAAAAATGGCAGATTATATGCGTTTTAGAATGTAAAGGGCCGTGCTTTTAGTTTTCTTCGTCATCTTCATACATACTCAACATAAATTATTTTAAATTATTGTTTATTACCGGTATTTATGTTTTGCCGAGGGGTCCCAGTATAGTCTCTCAGCTAAGAGGCAGACAGATGGACTGACAGTCATGGAACCACATAATTAGAGTATATATTCAAGGTCTAAGTATTTATTTGTATTCCAATAGCAATACATAATTATGCAAATATATGTATGGTCATAATTATGTATGGTCTTGTATATTAAGGAACATGATTAACTCATTCACTCATTTTCTTTGTTTGTTAATGCTATTCATTTAAAGTTCTACTCTGCTCTTGAGAGCAATACATACCTTTTCACAACCATCTGGAGGTTCGCGGGCTAAGAAGCGATTGATTTGTGGTGAAGTGCCTAATTTAGAGCCATCTAAGTCCGGAGAAGAACACACACTGCCACCTGCAATAACAAAAATTTTATGAAACAATAATATAAAAAGAAAAAAATTAAACAAAAAACTAATTTATACTAATATAAAATTTAAACTCTAAATTTTACTGCTACAATTGTATAGATTATATTTTACATATTCAAAAAGCATTAAAGCGATGTGAAAAAAGAACATGCTGTTTTGCAGGTTAGCAAAACTTTCTTTTAAGATAGAAATGCGCAATGAACGGCTGGTGATCGAACTCTTAAGCTACGAGGAGAGCATGTACACATGCTATTAACTTATTTATATAATAAGTCAAGAAGTATTTTTTTTTATTGTTTAATAGTAAAGAAGCGTAGTTCAGTATTTGAAATTGAATAACACAGTAGCCGTAAATGTTTTCCAATGCTGCTGCTCTTCTTTAAGTTAATAGTAACAGTAAAACTATAAATCAATATTAAGAATTTGATTATAAAAATAGTAATAAATAACTAAATATTATATATGCAAAAGTAATTTTGTTCGACTGTAGCATTATCAAGCCTAAACCACAGTTTTTTTTAATTTAGGCTAGTGAATAAAGAAGTATTGAAAGAAAATGTATATGGGAGAGGTTCTATGCAGATGAAGTGTTACATATATAAAAATTTAACACTGTCCTTAGTAAGTGCTTCATTTGAAAGCGACTGTGTGGCTTTTCGTAATTATTTAGTTTGGATGTCAGTCCAGATAAGATTTTTGGGGGAGAAAGGAAAGTTGCCTGAAAAGGGACTAGTACTCTATAAAATTATAAACATTTAGGTGTTGGAATTTTGACAGAATAAAACTGATGTCATTACATAAAATTGTAACTTTGTTATTTTCATGTAATACTAATTTAATTTCCTCATTTAATAAAAACATATTATTTATAAACTACAATAAAGATACTACACAAGCAAACCAAAAGTCCTCTTTAAAGAACACACTTATATTGATTAAAATTAAACAAAATCTTTAGAAGCATGTTATCTTTGATATTATTATATGTATAGTCTACAAAAGGATTATGTGCATGTCAATCAACTATTATAATGCGGGGGTTGTCTAAAAGCTGTATGTAGTTATAGACCTGCTTCTAGGAGCTCTGCAGAGCAATCGCTGGAGAGTGACCCCCGGGAAGGTGGATCTATACCCATAATATTTAATTTAGACATGGTCTTATCACAACATACTAGTAACATTAGGGTAAGAAGTTGTTTTTTTTTTATATTACTGACAATATTATTTTTGTGATAGTTTTTTTTTAATTTATTTCAAGTTCCGTCACGATAACATAATAGCATAACTAAAATCAATTGTCCAGGATGTCTTATGTTAGCTAATTAAGATCACACTACAATTGTAACAATTGACCATATTATTTAGTACCACAACTTATTTACAAGTAAGGAAATAACATGAATATTTCTTATTATTATTAATGTATAATTATTATATGAAACTATTAGAAACAATGACTGGCAACCTAAAATTTATTTAGTTCTCTGGTGGTACTCTAATGGCTATGTATAAATATGTTTTTGCCTTGATTAACACATTAGATGAAGTACCTTGTTTCTTTTGCTGGGATATAAATCCAACGGATAGTGTTTACAATATTAACAACAGATCAACAATGTAAGAACTTCTATTTCTCATTAATCTAAGTGTAAAAAACTTAAGTTATACTTTTTAAGTTGAGTGGATTCTTTTCAAAAACTAATATTGTTATTTAACCTACAACAATTAATACATTTTAAAACTACCTTTAAATACAAGACCTGACCGCTTTTCTCAATAGGACATGTTATTTAAATAAAAATGTTAAGATTACCTGACGAATGAGCTGTGTGCACTAGATCATGCGGAGTCTGAGTGTTCACTGAGCGCCTCAACAGTTCAGCGAGAGGTGCACGGTGCCCTTCTGGTGTTACCTGGAATAATGTTGTCAAGTGCACATCCAATGAATCTCGGGTAAATAAATTCTTATTGACAGTGTCAATATTTGAAATCACAAAAAAAAAAAGTACTATTAAGCACCCTTAAATTCTCGTAACACTTGGTAAACTTTAATATCAAAGTAGTATTTTTGTAAATACAAGTCACACACTTCATCATAGAGGAAATTAAGTTGCTGTTTATTATCCTATAGTTACTTTTGTAATGAGACTAGGCTCCTTTTTAAAATAAGGCAGATTCAAATTTCAAAGCAAACTTGACACTAACAGGAGTCAAGTCTAAGTATGCGAATAAACAATAGCAATCAATATACGAAATTGCAAGCTATGAATCATCGAAAACCTTATTCAGAAATTTATTTTACTTCTAAATAAATATATTTAGGTGATTTAGTTAAAGAAGTTGAACTGAAGAAAACATTACATAAATTTGAAAATTGAAATACCTGGGCTATTTATTTTGCAATATAATCATTGTAATAAAAAAATAATTGTAATACTATTCAGAAACCAACACTCACTTTATCTCTTAGCCGGTCGTGAAGCGGTGTTTGAGTGCCGCTAGCTGGATACAGCACAAGTCTCTCTATCTCCTGGTTTAGACCTTCTACTGACGACCGTGCTGCTCTTAGTGGGACGCTTCCACTTCCAAAACGTGACCCTGAGAACAGAATAATCTATTAAAATATGTATTGTAAGAAACAAATATTTTTTGTTTTTCTTCCAAATTGAATTTTATTTTCCCTTATAACCTATTAAACTTTGTACTCCCCACGTGTCCCCATGTCTTCTATTCAAAAATAGTTGAGACTACGAAGGTAAAACCTGAATGTTTTCTATAAATTTATTTACAATGATACTTGTAAATAAAAGTCGAAAATTTATAAAGTACATGTAAGCATGTGAAGTCTTTGTTTAGAGGTCTTTCAGAATGATGAAAAATGTATAATACGCCATATAGTTTCTTAATTAGTTAAGCAAAATTTGAAGTCTGCAAGCTCCCAAGAAGAATTATTTTCAGCAGGTTTGATACATTTTAATAAAAATACACTTACACAGAGCTGTACTCATAGAATGTGTTGAACTGTCTCCAGAGCCACAAGATTTATGTGGTCTTTGAAGGCGTATACGAAGAAAACGATCAAGTTTATCATCATCAGAACCCCTAGAAGAGCGACCAGAAGTCCCACCTCCATCATCAGTCTGCACAAAAACAGTTCAGCATTAAATTCTAAAACTGTTATTAATGTAAGATAATATTTCCCACTTACTCTCAGTATGTTGTAAATATTACCTCAGAGAGCTTATTAACATTAAGACGATTTACAAAAAACATTTCATATGAAATAAGAGAGATGCATTTATGTATTTTTGACTCTCAAATAGAATGAAATTAAAAGTTAAAAAAAAACATGATTAATTAAATGTTCAACCCTAGAGAACTCATATACTTCATCATACATCACTACTATTCATGAAATTACACATAGACATACATCCAACACTAAAATATAACTTGTCATAAGCACAAAATCAAAAATGTGGGTAGTGAGAAACTTTACAACACTGAAATGTAGTGGCAAAGTGATCACTTACTGTCACTTAATTTTATATATATCTTTATAAAGGAACAACATACTAAAGCACCATAGAAAACCTATGTTAGTATTTGTTTCTGCCACTTGTAACTTGATTTTTTGATATTCAATTGATTTTGATTGATTGAATTAATGATTGATAGTCATTCAATTTATCAATAAAAAATCATTTTTGCACAACTAGTGTACATTTGAAACGGAACACAGAGGCTGCCATTTTCACCATAAATATGACATGCAAAAATATATATATATAATTAATCTTGTAGCCTTATTTCACTTTTTATTTTCTATACACATTCTATAATCTTGTACATTTAAAATAATATCGTTTTTTTTAAAAAAAGGTACATACTTGGGTGGACTTATCTACTTGTAACTGGCCAGCATGCAGATAGTAGTCCCTGGACCATTGTCCTTTGTGGTACAAGGTGTCTAAAGAAGCTGTACGCCTGATGACACTAGCCCCAAATCTGCCTTTACCTATAAAAAAACATGACACAACAATTTATTCTCATGAATAAAATTATTGTAATTATGAATAGTTACATGGTGGTCTGTATATTACAAGTTTTAATATTTACAATTAATTTTTGTTTTAAGAAGGTACACCACCACAAGACTTTTTTATTGACTGCTACCTACCTGCTTTTTTTTAAATGTTTTAGTTCATTAAATAAAAATACGATTAATATTTACTGTATTATGTACTTTATCACTGTTTTATACTTTACCTTTATAATTAACTGCTCCTGGGCTTCGTTGTCCTGAAAGGGCGTGATCGGGTGATATTCGCCGCCACGCGATCGTCGGTGATAAAGTTGGACTGTTGCTAGCGTTCTTCTTGGGCTTCATTATTGACGACACCGGCAGAGTTGCCCTCATCGGTCCCTGCTTGCCCACGGGGCAGTCTGACTGCTTTCTTACTCGGCCCGACATCCTAACTTCCTCTAACACCTCACAATTATAAAACCACTCTATGTCTTCATCAAGCAGATTATCGAAAGATCACTGCGCAACAAAAATAAGCATTTCATTCGCCGACGCCGCGCCAAGCTCTTTGAAGAGGGAATATATTGGACTAGGATAAACTAGGCCCTGCTGTATTATTACGAGTGTTTCGATATTGCAATAAGGTAATCGACACTTTTGTGATAGTATTAGAATGTAATAACGGTAGTATTTAATAATCAACTAGTACTTAATGCATAAAAACAAAATTACAAAGCGAACAAGTCACATTTTTTCTGCACAATGGATGAATGAACGAAGCTGACAGATGACAAGGGACATCGCGCCATTCCTTTTTTTAGGCAATAAATTTAAAATTACGCTAACACATTTACAGGTTACACAATTTAAAGGTAAGATAACAGAAATAGTATATACCGGCGAACTCATTAATACCTACAGAAATGAAAACACTTATTCGTTTGCATTGCAATTAACAGCTGATTACTCCGCCATGTCAACTATACACAGAACATATATACCCCTAAAGGGGAAGAATAACGACTCCATACTATTTTTATGAGGAAATTTTTCCTTACCGGCCGGCGCCATCTATGCTCCGCCCACCAAAACTAGACAGTAGAAGCTAGGGCGGGAATTTCAAAACAGATACTTTGTATTGCATTTTATGCACAAGTACAGTGCGTTTCTCGATAGTGTTCATCAAGATGGTCAATTATTTCTCAGCAAAAACAATTGACATCTAAACGACATCACTATCGAGAAACACACTGTACTTGTGCATAAAATGCTGAAAGCAATATTTATGGAACAGTGTAATAAAAGAAACATTAGTATTTGACTTTTTTATTTAGCATAATATTCATTATAATTTATCAGATATTCATATTATAAGCAACTATATACTAATTTTACATGAATAAATGTGTTTTTGGATTATATATTCATTTGGGACAAAAGGTGTTCACAAGTATGTGTATGTAATTTTTTTGCGTGTGTTGTGGCCACCCTCTAGTGTCAGAGCTTATTAAGTCGCCTCTGGGAATCCCACAGGCCTCTGACATGGCGTGTATGTAATGATAATTAATCACAAAATTTGTCGCTTAATCTAAACACAAATTAAACATAATATTCTAAAAATGAGATAATACATACAATTTGAAAATACAGCAAGTATCTTCGACCATATGGTCTATTGCATACAATTTTAACATCAAAAACCTAGACAAGGTCAAACACAAGTTTACACTTTACAGACATATATCATAATATTATATAATATGTATTATTTCAGTTTAATAAAATAAATAAAGAAATGGTTAACAAGAGAGATACTTATTATTTTTGTTGAAGGTAGACAGATCTGACCAATTTAGCTACACTATCGTCCATTAATAAAACAAGTTGTAAAATAATAAATAAAACATAATCAGCCTATAATGAAATGAAATGATATTTATTTCTGTAAGTAAATCTTTTCAGATATTTTTACAAGTCGGACTTTATAGAAGGAGCCGGCATTTCCTAAGACTCACTCTGGGAAGAAACACCGAAACAAACCACATATTTGTCTTTTTTTTTTTAAGTCCGTAAACAAAGTTAATTAAAACTGTGCGAGTACAGTATAGGGTCTGGATAGGCCTTTTGAGGAAAGGATCATAGTTTTGAGTCAACCTGTCCATACAGACGGCATACAGGCTCCAGCCATCGTGTAGCCTAACCGATATTGGTCAAGATCAACGACCCGAAGCATGACACTACCGCCAGCAGGACATTTGGGTAGGCCGTGGAAACACTCAAAACCACCAGAAAGATAATAAAAAATTAATTAACATTACAAGCCTACACTGTACTCACATTTACATACTTACACAAAAAATAAAAAAATACTACACAGTTCAAAGTCAACGAAAAATAAAATACGAAAACAAAATACGAAATACACCAAAAAATAATAATTAAATGTCCATCACTTTCAAACTTAACAACAAAGATGTCTACGTAAATGTGGGAGTGAGCAGCATCAATCCCAAGCAAATTTGTCGGCTAAATAATCTGTAATAGTGTAGTAAGCCTTTTCACATAGTTTTAGCTTTACTAAAGACTTAAATTTATTAATACTTAATTCATGGAATTTGCTTGGCACTTTATTGTAAAATCGCACACCCTGACAATGAAAAGACTTGCTTACTTTTTGTAGTCTAGTGGTTGGTAACACGAGTTTATCTTTATTTCTAGTGTTTATTTTATGCATGTCGCTAAACTTTGTGAATAAATGATTATTTTTCTTTACATACACTAAATTTTCATATATATATTGAGATGCGACTGTCATGATACCAATTTCTTTAAACTTATCCCTCAGTGACTGCCTATAACTAAGATTATAAATTGCACGAATAGCTCTCTTTTGCAACACAAAGATACTTTGAATGTCAGCAGCATTTCCCCACAACAAAATACCGTATGACATTACACTATGAAAATAGCTAAAATACACCAGTCTAGCTGTTTCTACATCGGTTAATTGACGAATTTTGTAAACCGCGTATGCTGCAGAGCTAAGTCTATTCGACAATCCGTCAATGTGTGGGCCCCATTGCAATTTAGAGTAGTGTTATACCTAAAAACTTGGTGGTGTCCACAAGATTCAACTCCTTTCCATTTATTAGAACATTGGTCTTTACCTGTTTAACATTAGGTGTAAAAAATCTAATACATTTCGTTTTATTCTCGTTTAAAAATAAATTATTAACATTAAACCAGTTTACAACCTTAGAGAGAGTGCTAATCACGTCATCAGTTACTGATTGCTGTCGTTTAAGTTTAAATAACAGTGAAGTGTCATCCGCAAATAGTACTATCTCCTGATTATCATTTTTCCACAAATATAAAAAATGTAAAAAATGTTCTGTTCTGTGGATTTTTTTTCCTCTTCTTAAATCTGATGTCGACGCGTTTACTCCATCAAACAGTTCATCCATGTCTTTAATTAAATTACCCGTTGCCACTGCTCCAGTCGGCATGTCTCCTGAAAATTCACAATAAACAAATTAAATCAATATAAGTACAATATAATATGACAATATAATTATTAGATAGTTTCACCATTTATAAAAGAGACAACCCCACATTTTCATACTGTTGAAACGAATTTGTAAGACTTGTTGTTAAATGTGCATAAGTATCATGCATAATAATTATGATGTGTGTGTATAAATGAGTTGGACCATGACTATTTAAGATGTCTCTTACCTTTAGCTATTTTGGAAAATATTCCTGCTGCAACTGAGTGGCTTAAAACTTGTGCTGCAAGTTTTACCCTCATTTTTTGCTTGGTATTGGGGTCAACGTGTTCTTTAGTTAAGAGTGGTGCATAAACAAAATTGGGATTATTATTGTCCAGTTCATAGAATTGTCTGATGTGGCTCCATTTAGCGATTCCTGTAAAGTAATTATTAAAAGTAAAATTATCTATACTAATATTATAAAGCTGAAGAGTCTGTTTGTTTGTTTGTTTGAACGCGCTAATCTCAGGAACTACTGGTCCGATTTGAAAAGTTCTTTCAGTGTTAGATAGCCCATTTATCGAGGAAGGCTATAGGCTATATATCATCACGCTAAGACCAATAGGAGCGGAGCACCAATAAAGAATGTTCCAAAAACGGAGAAAATTTATTACTATTGAAAGACGCAGACGAAGTTGCGCAGGTCAGCTAGTTAAGTATAAACTACATACATATTATTAAACACTTTTTTTAAACTAAATAACAATGACTTACCAATTCCTTGTTTGTTGTCTGATGTTATATTGGTCATAAACTTTACATCATATTTCATGAACAGATTTCTGAAGCACTTCAGCAAGTGTGGTGTGTCAAATAGCGTGACTACTTTGTGATTGCTCACTTCTATATAGGGATTCTCTACAGAAGCTCCTAATAGACACAGAGCTCTCTTGTTGACTCCATCCAAGTCACAAACTGAAGCGCATATATTAAGGCCAGCATTAAAGCAACAATTTAAAACCTGAAATTTTTTTAAGGCAGATTAGTAACTTAGCTTATTTAACATAAGCATGATCATCTTTCAAAATGAAGAAGAAATGCATACCTCCTTAATCAAAACAGATAGTCTGTCAGCTGTGACAAATCCACTTGATAGGTAATAAGCCACTGACTGTTTAATTGGCTTCCTAACTCCAACCACCATAAATACAAGCGCATATGAAGCTGCCTGTGGAGATCTACCTTGTGTGGCATGGTCTTGAAAACCCTCAATTTGATCAGACTTAGAGTTGTACCATAAATTTTTTCTTAATGACATTTCATCCCACAACAATATGTACTCTCGTTCAGATGGCCCAAAGTGTTTTGTAATCTTTTTCAACATTGTAAGTGTTGTTTTGTGTATCCCCACATTCATCCTAAATCTGCTTAAGAGGGATTTTAATGTGCTGGGTGCTGGTAAACAAATCATTCTCCTCAATAACTTGTAGCATGTTGGTGACCTTTTATAGAGCCTCAATGCTATTATTTTAGCTTCCATGTTCCACCTGCGTCCAGGTTTCTTCCTCTTATAATTCTGCAGTTCTCCTTGCAGTAACAGGGCAAATGATGAACTCATTTTTTTATTGAGGATTTTTTTTACTGTTTCATTGTTGGAGATTTCATTTAAAAATGCTTCATTTTTTAAATATTTTACAGTTTTTTGTAATCTATATACTTTGTTCATACTATTTTTCAGTTTCCTTATCAACATTTTGTTTTTCTTATCTTCTTCTTGTTTTGAAGACTCGCACACAATCATTCCTGAACAACTGGTTGGAGTGATAATGTTTGCATTATGTTCTCTTAAAGGATAAATTCTGGATGGACCGGCAACAGGTTCAAATATGGCAGGTTGATCTGGCAGATAAGAAATTGTTGTGTCCTGAAAATGAAAGGTTAACATATTTATTTTAAATAAATTAATTTAAATCCTTAAATTAATATAAGTCATAGTTGAGGTAAGCAAATTATATATATAAGAAATATTTATAACTAGCTTCTGCCCGCGGCTCCGCCCGCGTAAATGTCGGTCATCGCGGTAAAAATGCACTCCCTCCGCGTAAATGTCGGTTATCGCGGTAAAAAGTAGCATGTTTTTCCTCAAGAATCAAAGTTTCTACATACCAAATTCCATCTAAATTTATGACTCATTTTGCATGTTTGTAATTGCCCAAGTTTTCTTAAATTTATGTTAACAACATCATTCTGCTACATAATATTATGTGTTACACATAACATAAAGTCTGTATTTCTCTGCAATGTAAATAGCTTTAAATACACTTTTAAAGTATTAATTGTACTAACCTTATGGCATTGAACACCAGGTACAGCTGTTCTGAACAACTTCTTCTCAATAAAGCATGTGCTTTCAAAATGTTTGCTGCAAAGCATCTTATGTTTTGCATGGAGTTCATCCTGGAATTTTGGTGAAGACCAGGCTTTGTATGGAAAGCAATACTTTGCCCATAATTCACACCTGGAAATTAAAAAAAAAATTAAAATTAAAAAATAAAATACGAAATTAAAATTAAAAAGGAAATTAAAATTATTTTATCTCATCTGCATTGCAATGATAAATGTCCAAATGCCCAGAGACTGACAATGAAAAATGCTAGTCAGAATAGAGACTTCTACTGATAACACTGCGGATGGCGACCCTTCAAAAAGGCGCAAATCTGACTATTCTATATGTATGGGTAACAGAGGCATCCATTGGTCTACATTCGTAGAGAACAGGGGAAGGTGTAAAGTTTGTAGCTTGAATAAGGTTCAGTCGAAACCTCATAGTAAATGTTCGCATTGCAACGTGGTTTTGTGTGTAAATGAGAAGAAAAATTGTTTTGTTGAATACCATGAGGTTAATCTGTAATTAAAAACCTAATAATTTAATTATTACTAAGTCAATATTGGATCTCATTATTTTGTAGTTTCTATCCAAGTTCCTAACATTGTGATAACACGAAGTTCCTGACGGCACTTTTAAGTCTAGGTCTTGGTAATAGTACTTCTAGGTATAATAAAAATCTAAAAAAAATCGTTTTACTTACCTTATTATGTAAATAAAGTTCAAAAGCGAAAATTTGTTAAAAATCACTACCCCGGGGGGAAAGGGTTAATAATCATATTTTTAATTAAGTTTTATCTAAATAACAATCTAAACTTTCTGTATTTCCTTTGATTGAAAGAGATTTAAAGGATGTAAACGAATAGCATGGAAAGTACTTAGGTAGGTACATACCGCAGAGCATTTTTTGAGCCAGGCTTAGGAAACCGATGCAAAGTGATGCTGGAATCTTTAGAAGGTGAAGATCCACACATGCAACAGATTCTAGTGTTTTCTTTCTGCGAACTCATTGCGAAAATTAAACACAATCAAACAAGTCACTATCTCAACACCGAGTCTATATCTCACAAACACACACTTAATTTCACCAAAACACAGCCACGGAGGAGCAAACTCGACTCACGGTAACAATGTATGTAGAATTAAATGCAACTAGTTTATTTTTTACAAATAAACATAGGTACAAGATAAAATGGTGCGGGAACCGCAGGCAGACATTTTTCTTGTGACGTCAAACGTGTTGCCAGTAGTTGCCACACATTTTCCCCCTTATCTTTTTTTTGTTTTTGTGTATTGATCAATTAAATATGTTATATTTCTTAGCAAAATAATTTTTTTGGGTATCAGAATAATCACAAAATGTATTTTTAAGGGTGACTTTCTTTTTTAGCTCATTGTTTTGGAGAAAACGAAATTGTAATTTTGGTGGCAACATTTTATAATTCATCTCTTTTACTCTAATGTTGTTGTCTCTTTCTTGTTTTCAAGCCCACCTACATCTTGTTCTAAGAACAAAGTTGACAGACCCTGCAACTATAACTATTTGTCTGTGGTTTTTGTAGATGATAGTGAATTCGTGATTGTTTTGGTTTACTCCCTGTTACACGACATGTAAATAATCCGAATTCCTTAAATTGGAAAAACAAATCTTATACCTAAGACATAACTTTTACACCCAAATGAGAATTAAATGTAAATATTTTAAAGAAATTAATTTGCGCTATTTTGGTATATATCTTATAAGACTTATAAGAGAAATAACCGCCTCAGACTTTCCATGTTTTATGAGACCGTCGTCACTATTTAGCCTATTCTGGTCAGCACTGGGAGCACCAACCATTCTGGTCTTGATCATACTTAAACTTAAATATAGAAAGTTCAAATAGGTTATGACAGCGACTTACGACAGCGTATGCTGCTACCACTAGATTATCTCAAGCTAAGTAGAAATGCAAAAAAAAAAAAACTGTTAATTACGCAACCTGATTCTGTGTTGGCCTTACATACTTAGTTTAATCTTTAAGATGAATAACGTGAGCACCCATGATGCACCGCTTATCTCATTTAAATATTACGTTAAAAAGGTGTGTGGGTGTGTTGTGTGTTAAACTAATTATAGGACACGTTCGCAGGGCCCTACTAATAGGAGTGCTGTCTGCTTCAGTAGTTGTTCTGAGGGTCTGTCTGATTTATATCCTGTGATGATTAAATTCATCAGGTATAATGTATCCTGCTATTTATACGATTATTTTAGTTTTAGAAATTTCCATGCATTAAATTTCGTAGACTTACTAATGAATGCTGACTGCCGTTGACTTTAGATTTAAGGCTAACCAAAAATCAAAAATGGAACCTAATTACCAATCTTGTTTATAGAGGGGAGAACTGTTTAACAAATGTGGTTGTTTTGAGTGGCCATTCTTGTTTCTATTGTGTCATGTATTTATTATTAGAATATTTTATAAAATAATATATTTATATAATAATTTTCTGTAACTCATGGTTTCTAATGGATTTAGTAAGTTGTGTGAAACTGTTCAAAATTAGAACAGAAATGCTGCGTTAATAAAAAAATTGCATCACGCCATTTGTGTCTGCAGGGACAGCAGAGTCCCTGCAGCGTTGCCAAGTATATTGGCGATGCATCCAAGTGATGAAATGTCTCTACGAAGCCGCCACCATGTCCGTCCAAGTACAGAATCAGCAAAACAAGGCCCGTACCGTTGCAACGAGGAGTGAGACATGGGGACGTTATTTCCCCGAAATTGTTCACGAATGCAATGGAGGACATATTCAATACGATGCACTGGAAAGGGCGTGGCATCAATATCAATGACGAATACATCTCTCACTTGCAATTTGCAGACGACATCGTCATCATGGCAGAGACGCTGCAGGACCTACAACAGATGCGGAATGACGTTCAAATTCGCTCAACGTGCTATGAAAAGGGCTATGCTCGGCGTTTCTCTAAAGGATCGCCTCAGGAATGAGGTGATCCGGCAGAGAACCAAGATCACCGACGTAGCCAACCGGATTATCAAGCTGAAGTTGCAGTGGGCTAGCCACATTAGCCGCAGAACGACAACCGTTGGGTAAAACGAGTGCTTGAGTGGAGACCGCGTCTCGGCAAACGTAGTGTAGGACGCCCACAGGCCAGGTGAAGTAACGATTTGCGCAAGACGACTGGCAGGAGCTGCAAACGAGAAGCCGTTATATGCGGGCAGCACAGGACCGGTTATTGTGAATAGGCCTTGGGGTAGGCCTCTGTCCAGCGGTAGACGTCTTTCGGCTGAGATGATGTCTGTCTTAGACCATTGATATGTCTAGATAGAGTGCCAACGTGTGCCGACTATAATGTCGCAAAAAAAATTGTGTCTAACTGTTGGACGCTAAGGTCCATTCCGCTGCCGCTGTGTATGTGGTAGCTGTACCGTCGCCATGGCGTTTAGCAAAGTGTGTGATGTAGCTGTCACGGGAGTTGCTTCGGATATAATTTTTTTATGTAGATTATATTTATATAATCTTCATAGATTTCTTAGTAAATGCCTAGCCTTGGTTTAATTGAAATGTACTTTGTCCTTATAAAAGACGACCCAACGTAAATGTCGTTACAAAAATATCAATGATGAATGAGAGGCAACATCTAGATAATATATGAGCTGTGCAAACTACGCCCCAGGTTTAAAATTTATGCGGTATCTAGTTTGGACAGCTCTGATCTAGATGAATATTAGAGTAGATACATTAGCGATGTGCGATCTGAATTGCGCCTTGTGTCGGAATGGTCAGTACATTGAATAATAATAAGTTATTATTATACGAGCTAAATGACCTTCACTGCAAGTTTGCGCAAGTTAAGTGGAGCTTCTAATAATTCTTAGGTATTATGAAATTCGGACTTATTAGGTATTATGAAATTGGAGCATCGAAATTTGGAATAAAATATTTCGGAGTATTTGGGTGTTCTCATACAAAATATGTGTAAAAAAAATTAAATAAACACAAAAAAATACGGAATATATTATTAATAATCATTATATCTAATTTTCATTATCCTAAATTATACAATGAACATAGTAATTTATCACAACGTGTAGTCTGGTACTTATTATAGATAAACAAATGCCATCCAAAGAAAAATACTCCAGAAGAAATAGTAGCAATATTGTAAAGTGAAAGGAAATTCACTATTTAACAATATCACACATCTGTGTAAATGATATGTACGAAAAGTTATACTAAAATTTTATAAAATAAACAAATTATATTATACAATATATTATTATGTAACTTAAGCTGTTTCTATACTTCCGTACAGAAATTGTAAAGAAGGCTATTAAAAGGGCAGTTTCAAATACATATCTTATGTAAAATAATAATAAATAAAAATATACTAGTGCCTAGTATAATACACAAAACACAGTTTGTTTCATGTACTTGAACTATTTTCTTGAGCAATATTCCGTTTTGTTTCGGCGATCCAGGCATAAATCCGTTCTTTGAGTTCTGTGTTAGATTTTACTTGGTCCATAGACAACGGTGATCGATTGAATGGGTCCGATTGATCGCTTAGAAGATGGCTGTAATAGTAAAAATAACGGTATGTATGTACGGTTTTGACAGCTTTTTTCTGAGAGAAACGGGTCTGAAAAGAAAAATGTACATGTATGTAAGAATATTACCGAGCAATAGTAGTCCTGTCTACAGTAGTTCGGGAGCTAGGTAGTGTCACTGGATCCATCATGAGGGTGCTCATGATGGGGTCGAGGAACTCCTCAGGGGCATTGGCGAGAATCTCCTCGTCTCGTTGTCGTTGTACTGCTAGAATTTCAACACGGCTGGCCACCTCCTGGAGTGAACCTATCAACCCACCGCCTCCGATGCGTACTAAAAAAGGGGTTTAGGTTAATAGGACGTAATATCGTAACTTATGTTTTATATGGTATAGTCAGCCAAAAGCGTCCAGCAGTGGACTAGTAAAAGTTCTTGATGGTGATAATGAGTCTGTTTCGAGTATCTACTATGAGAGCGTAAAATAATAAAAAAAGACTGTGGCACTCGGGGACTGCCGCGGTAAAGCTATTGCATAGCATTTTTTATCAACTTAGTATTAATAAACTTAGTATTAAATATTTATCTCAGGAAAACCCTATAGAAATTTGCCCGGCCGGGAATCGAACCCAGTAAGGCAGCGTTTTCAAATTCCACGCGAACGAAGTCGCGCGCACCAGCTAGTATTAAATAATTATCTTAGGAAAACCCTATAAAATTTTGCCCGGCTCCGGCATCGAACCCACTAAGGCAGTGTTTTCAAATTCCACACGAGCAAAGTCGCGAGTACCAGCTAAAAAATCTGTAGGGGCCAGATTGTTCGTCTCCTTTTCCCGGTTCAGACAAACCCAAACATGGGAGTCCAAGTGCTCCAGGTACCGAGTTGTTAGGTTATTTTCGTTACGGAATTTCTGGATTCGGTCTCCACGCTCAAGGCCCGCGATAGAAGTTATGCAATAGTTTAAAAAAAATAGATGTAAGAAAATATCGTATATTTACCGAGCACGGCCTCCGCTAAAGTGAACAGTTGTGGTGAGTACGACCGTCCGTCATCTGATACAGCGGCGCAGAATCGTTCGTTAGACCCAAGCTCAACATACATACGACATATGTCTAGTACAGTAGTAGCAGGATTGAACTCGTATTCTTTCATGTCTTTTACCTGAATTTTAAGGAAAAAAATGTTATAAGGAAAAGAGTGGTGATAAAAAATTTGTGATAACCGGCTTTTCATTATGAAAGAGATTATTTTTGTTTCACGCAGCTGTAAAGTACCTACTTTAGTAATGATATTAAAAAAGTAAAAACCAAATAACCTTAAAGTTCTTCTTATTAGGACCGACCAAATGCAGCAAGAAGTAGTTGAGCATGGAGGCGATCCTCTCGACGAGCGTGGGGTGGCAGAATACGTAGGGCGCGTGCGCCGTGAGCCGCACCAGCGTGCGGATGGTGTCGCGGCCCAGGATGTTGTCGAAGCGCGCCAGCATGCCGATGTGCGACAGGTTCGACAGGTTCTGCGCGCGCTCCTGGCTCGGCAGGTTCGCCCACGCGCCTGACTCACTGCAAATTATTATGTCAACCAAATAATAGAATAGACTTAAGCTCGTAAAACCGATAAAAAAAAAAGATAATATAAAAAGATGCAGGAACAAATACCAATCTCGAAGGCTGCCTTGACTATCATGCGAACCATACGCTTGGAAATGACAGTAAGTCTGATATGATGGAATTACGACCTTGCAATCAGTATCCATGTATTTAAACTATCAGACCTATACCACCAAACCTATACTAATGGTATTCATGAACTCTCTTTGAGTTACTATAGGTCCAGTCTCGTTTTACTTCCGAGACTTGAGGTATCGCCCATCGGCTGTTCCCACTCTATTCTTCCCTATATGGATATTCTTCCTTTGTCCCGACTTAATACGATTGCACTCCATAGAAGGGCAATGGCGCATGATTGGATATAAAAAAATACCCAAAACCCTTTACAATCCACATTGCGTCGAACACAATAAAATCGAGAAAATGGCGATGATGGGACTACTAGCCGGAAGAAGCGTTAACAAAATGTGTAAATAGAATCAGTACTTAGAAGAAGTCTATTTTATATGTCATCACTCATAAAGACATAATAAGGAAATCTAGCATTTTGGTTTTTAGCGTAATTAAGTTGATTAAAGAGATCTGTACCAAACTTATACTAAATTTTAATTTTAAGCAAGAGTAAAATACATACTGTGCAGTTTGCAGGGTGCGTATCTGTGCCATATTGCCGAGAGCTTCGTCTAGTAAGAAAATGCCGTCGTTCATCAGGAGGTTCACGAATCGCAAGAATATCGGTGGGTGGACTGCTTCCATGTTCGCTTCAGCTTCTCTCGCTAAGCGTCTGTAATTTATAAATATTAATTGATGTTATTCCTATCAAGTCAAATATGATATCCTGTTAGGGTGCAAAACTCAACGAAACTCACGTAAAAGCCTGTCTATGCTCCTCCATCTCCCATAAGAAGTCCATCACAAGGTACATCGGGCGGCGATAGTTGAACTTCTGCTCAAACTGAACACTCTGACCAGTCATCTCAATGCCAACGAACACGTCCAATAAACACGGTACTAGCTGTAACGTGAGGTCATTATTCTATAATCATGTATTTTGTATGACTCGCGCTTGACTAAAGCACTACTTTCTCATTGTTATTTCTTTACTGTAAAAAACAAATGTATTGGCATTATAGATTAAATTTAGAATTCAAACCTGCAATCTATGTGGGTGTTCCTTAAACAACTGTTCGCGATAGAATGAAGCTAAACTGCTCAAAGGTTGTTGATCATCAGGATGATTTGGCAACATTGCCTCGAGACATTCAGCTAGTCGTGCCCTGAAATTGTCGAACCAATATCAAATTGTATCTCAAACTCTTATTAACATCACCTTAACCTTGAAACCTCCGCAAAACTATCGTGATCGTAGTCGATCAGTTTTTATACACGCCATAAAGATATATAGATTTTTGTATATAGGTATTTGGACTACACGCGGAAGTCGGCAGGAATGATATGGAATCGCAAGAAGAAGCGTATACTCGTATAGGCGATATAGCGTATTGGCCGAGACATCCAGTATGATACCGGCGTGAACTCACTTCCTAATACAAGGATTTAGTTTAACATATTTACTAACAATGTATGATCTGCATTGCTGGTGTTCTCGAGAAATTAAAGAATCAGGGGTTAATAAGTGACATAACTGTAATTCAAAACTATGAACAAACCGTATTAAATATTAAGAAAGAGAATATAGAAGAAACTTGCACTAAGCACTTTTAAAATATTTGATTGGTTATGACATAAACGGCATTTAGCAATGGAAGCAGTGCACTGAGTGCTGTAAAACTAACCGATTTCATTGACCTATTAATATAAATAGATGGTGTTATATACCTGAGATGCGGGTTGTATGTCCTTGAGGAATCACCCATGAAAGTGAGAACGAGCGTGAGCGCGGGTCTCAGTAGTCCAGCTATGTCGGCATCCTCGTCGATAGCACCAGCTGTTCGTCGCGCGAGGGTTATCAACACCACTATATTCTCCAGGACAAATTCTGGGACACATCTGCATGAAACGAGTTATTGTATTATGTCAAAATAAGGTATAGTAAACACCTAGAGGCGCAAATCAAAAACACAAGTAATAGGATGCCTACAATAAATGCATACTTATAATAATAGCACGCATAAATCTACCGACTCGTATTTAATGGACACACTAGTATCACAGTAGATAAAAACGATACAAATTCATTTCCTTTCTTATTAATATTTGAAATTAAAAATATGCATAAACACAAGATGCAAGACCTTATTAAGAAAGAGTTTATAGATACAATATTAATGTATTCTAGAAACATAAATTAATTAATTACGAAGACGAAATTTTGTATAGTACACAAGATACCATATTACAACTACAAAGATTTCGCCTCTAAATTATTAAGCATGGTACAACGCTTATTTTGTAAATACAACTGTATTTTGACACGGCAGTAAGCCCACTTTTGTATTTAAAGACTTGACCACGACCAACCAAGTCTTTCTCAGGGACGAGACCATTGGTTCACTTAAGCCCGCCTTCACTGGACCTTACGAGGTACTACAGCGAGGAGACAAGGTTTTTAAAATTCTTGTCAACGGAAACACAGTAACAGTGTCAATAGACCGCGTGAAGCCAGCTTACATTCTCAACGACACCAACACTGACACTAACATTAACTTACAACCACAAACACAAAAACAAACAAACACATCCATGTCACACATCAAAACAACATCCACCACGAAGCATCCTGAAGCTCGAGGAAGTGGCATCAAAACGACACGATCAGGTCGTAAAGTGCGTTTTCCCGACTATTATCGCCCGTAGTGACGGTCTCAAGGGGGGGCTGATGTGGCGTATTTTATGTTTTATGTATTTTATAATTGTACATTTCTCTAATTTTATACATGTTCATATTATATAACTTCATTCTTGTTATTATTTTACAATTTACTATATTTATATACTCTGTATCATATTAAATATTGTTGTTTTAATATATATTCAATTATAATAATTAATTTCTCATATTATTAATATTAATTTATTTGTATATTTGTCGGACGCGCAAACAATATTTGTTATTAGTGAATTGGCCTGCGCGCCGACTCCCACTCGTGCCCCGAAGGTACGAAACCGGTTTGCCGGGCGCGCCGGCGCAGCCGTTCGTGTTAGCCCGGCATTCGGTTGAAACACTCGGGACGCGAAGCCGACGTTTGCTTATGCATTGCTCTTGCCTATACCGCCGCTTTCTAAAATCTGTGATTGTGCTATATTACTTACTCTTGCTAATTTCCTTGCGCCTACTCCTTCTGACTGTAACTTTCTTCTGTGTGTCTATATATGTAAAAGGTGTGAATATACAGTTACCAAACTACAGTGTGCCTATCAAGTTTATTTTTCCTTTCAAACTTCTACCCGCTTATAAACGGTAAGTCACATCTTACTAACACACTAAACACTCACCCACCCATACCAATAAAATCAATGATTATAATATTGTTAGACATAGGGTATTCGGATCGAGGGATTCAAGTTCAATAAAAATCTGTGACACATTTTTGTGTGATTAGCACAATATTTGTTGTTGTTGTTGTTTGTTTTGTTTAGAAATAATTAAGTGTGTTTATCAGCAGTCTAGTTACCATAGCGCAGGCTGTATCTACGTTGGGATCAGACTGCCGTGTGTGACATGTGTGAAGTTATTATTATTATCATACCTGAGTGTATCAGGCGGTATTGTAGTAACAGGCATGACGATAGGAGTGACGGTCATGGGCGCGTAGCTGGACAGCGGTTGCTCAGAGTTGGGCTGAATTGCCACTTGTACCAACCAATTGCAAGTGGTCGCTTGTAAACGGTTCAGGTTTGTTAACATGTCTTTCTCAAGAAGAGCGCAGCGGAGGCTGTAGAACCTTTGGAGGAAATCAAATCTTTTAGTACAATCTACTAATACAAAATAAGCATATGATAATGATGCATATATATATGCATAAGTATTTGATCTCTGGCTGCATTGGTGGATTTGAACAATCAGCAACACAAAATCATTATTTTCCATATAAAAATTTTGAGTGGCACTTATTAATTACTCACTTAGACATTAATAGTTGATTCCGCTGTCTCATTGGATCTAGGAGATGATGAACGGCTGATGTCATGTCCGCAAGAGCACGCTGCGCCTGGCCAAGCTCTTGTCCAGTCCGCCATAACTTGTCAGCGCAGACGCGGACACCTGCAATTTTATAAGGCTTTTATAAAGCTCATATTATCTACTCCACGATATCACTATTGCAGGAAGTTTTACTAGAATCCGGTACAAGATAGAACAAGTAATACTTAGTGTCATTAACAATAAACAATTTATAATATAAGATTTTTGTAAAATTTAGCATATTTTATCAAATTTATACAAAACTCAAAATTATAAACTATTCATCTCGATCGTTTGGTGAACACCGTTTAAAAATCCGTTCGAATCCGAAAGAAAGACAGATGCGGCAGAAGCTTGTTCTACATATGTAACACTTAATTTAGCTTGTAACAGGGTGATACAGATACAATTTTCCCTTTAAAATTGTCGGAGGAGGAACGTTTCTACACCAACTCTGAACGTGAAGCTTTAACAAGCAAGTGTTCCTTAAATCTAAATAAATACGAACCTATATAGTTTTATCAAATTAGGTAGAGGTTAATTATAGAAAAATGAAATTTCTAGATTAACAATAAATCCAAAAAAATAATGTGCATACATATAGTGTAACCAGACCACATTAAATTGCAGCGTCGAAGTCTAAAACTTCGACGCTGCAATTTAATGTGGTCTGGACAATTACATAACATATGCTTAACTTTTAAAACAGGTTCAACAGCTAAAAACCTGTAAATACTGTATAAAAAAGGGATATACTCACCTAAGTCAATACACTTTTGGGTCATAAAAAAGCATTCCGTAACAAAATTGAATGTTTCTGCAGTATCTCGTTTCATTGCTTGATCATTCTCATTTGTCCGGGGTGGCAAAAGGCAGGTTTCGTTGTATAGACAATCTAAGTGCACTGATTTCGCTTCACACTCTTCAGGCTATAGATAGCATAACAAGTACATATTTTAGTTTGCATTCGTGTGACACTTTTTATATTATTATATGGGGATTTTTAGAAAATATATAAGATAATAGAAAAAGTGCTATAAGATTAAGTTAAAGTAAAGGCAATATTAGCTAATAGGTGTTCCGGGAAATATTTATTTTTAATCACTTACTGGAACTGCACAATAGGTGGGGTCGATTTTCAATGCCTTGGGATCATCTGCTGATGTGCAGAACGGTTGACACAACTGTAGCAGTACTGCCCCTAAGTTCAACATAAACCCATCTGATACACAAGATGAAGTTGCCGTCATGTCAGCCACCTGAAATTGTAGTTTGTTTCAGCAAATACAGGATCACTTCATCAGCCTTTACTAGTCCACTACCGGACATAGGCCTCTCCTTCGTAATGAGGTTTTGGCCTACTGTACCACGCTGGCCAGACGGATTGGTATAGGGTTTTCTTCTCTTTTTGCAGAGCTGTTGTCCTGCCGTGTGAGCACACGGCACGGTGTCGTAAGAGGCGACTAAGGGAGCCCTTAGTCGCCTCTTACGACACCCACGGGATGAATAGGGGTGGTAACATTCCGTATTCTTAATCCGTCACCATACAGACAGGATCGAATTGTAATTAATAGTAAGAGTGATTAAATGTGGCATTCTGCACATTGTCTCATACTTTGCAGTCAAATTAAAGCATTTATTTAGGAATCAACTTTTGTTTTATATTAATATATAGGTATGAAAGACGGGTCACCCGATGGAAAGTGACTACCGTCGTCTACGAACCTCGGCAACAAAGAAGTAACACTGCTCATTTCTTGAAGGTCGTATTGGTAGTATTTTGTAAAGTAGCGGCAGGTAGCTAATATTAGATAAACTGGTAGAAACCTTGACTAGGGAACCAATTATCACAAATAATTTGATGATAGCGGGTACGGCCTGTCAAGAAACTTAACTGTAGGAGAAGTTACTAGCCAGGAGCAAGACAATTAAGGACTTCCCTAACATAGTGTATGAGTAGCATAATAACGGCCAGGAATATGTCAGATATTAATGGACACAATAATTTAGTCTGGTCTGTGTAGTAGGTAGGTAGTAGTAGTGTGGAGTCTGAATATTAGATAATACAATAGATTTAACTACCACCAGCAATTTCTTATTGTGCTTTTATTCAAGTATTATTATCTGTGTGGTAACAAATTAAGAATATGGAGTATCACTGTACCTATTCATCTTGTGGGTGTAGTAAGAGCCGATTAAGGGAGCAAACTACGCAGGATAACAGCACTGCAAAGAGAAGGAAACCTAAAAACAAACCCTACATCAATCCGTCTGGCCATCGTGGTATAGTAGTAAAACCTCTTTACTAAGGGGAGGCCTACATCCAGCCGGTGGACTACTAAAGGCTGTTGATGATGATGATGATTCAAGTATAGATTTTCTATAAACTTACACTCAAGTATATTCCTAATAAACAGAATTGTTTACCACAGTAAAAATTTATGCATTCCAAGTATTTGTATCATCAAATTTCTTAAAACTAAATGACTCACCTGTATATTCCAAAGTTTTCCTCTCACAGCATTTGACTTTAAACACCTTCCAATCCATGTTAGTAATTGACTTTTTATCTGAGGGCCAGCTTTCAAGAGTGTGAGGAATATTTTGTGCATATTATTAGTGAGGTGGGATATTGCATTTCTTAATGAAGATTCTATGAGTGCAGTGGCAGTCTGAAAAATAATAATATAAATTCCTCAATTTGCTAACTAAATTATTGTCTATTTTTCATTGTCATTTAAAGTGCTTTTAAAAAAGTCTCATATGTTTCATACATGATATCTTTAAAATCAAAATCTGTAAATATTCCTCCTATAAACTGTAAACTTTATCTTTTTTTTATTGTACATTTGTATGGATCTATGTATACGTGTGACTAATGGTTAGCGGTCCTGACTGCTATGCCAGAGGTTGTGTGGTTGATTCTTACCCAGGACAAACAGTTGTGTGATCTGCACGATCAATTGTTCTGTGTCTGGGTGTAGTTTATGTATAATATGTATGTATTTAGAAATATATATGTAAGTATGTTTATCAGCAGTCTGGTTACCATAGTACAGGGTCTGTCTAGTTATGGATCAGACACCCTTGTGTGAGGTGGTTTATTATTATTAATGAAATATATTACCTGATCAATGGGATTGTCAAAAAACTCAGGTAATGATGAATTAGACTTGGGCATCACTGAAAGGGCCAGTAAGCCCCCTATTACATTACTTTGGTACAGTCTTCCATTCTTTTCATTAGGTTTTACTTCACAGCTCTCTAGTAAAATTGGTGCTAAATGTGGATTGCCTGTAAGTGACAGCATTCAAATGTAAGATTATTTAATGATTGGTCTAAAACCCGTTCAAATATTATTGAAAAAAATACGATGGACTTTTCCTCTTGAGGGTCAAGAAGAAATGGAAAAGAAATTTGAAACAATAAAAAACTATTTATTGATTTTTCTATAAATCTATAAATAGGATTTAGTAAAAATAGTACCTATAAATAGTAATATAATCTTTAATACCTCAATTTGTATTAAGTTCTTAATAATAATACGGGTTAAGGTATGAAATTGCCGTCGTTTAGTACATGTTTACTGTGATGATACGGAACTTCGAACAATGATGGCGAAACTGGCAAGTGGAATAGCCCCGTCTCGTGAATCGATCTTCACCATTATTCCATGCTCCATGCTAACGCAAGACCTCACACTGCACGAGAAACCGTTGTAACTCTACAGGATTTGCTGCAGTTAGGAACCATACGTCATACTAGACTTTGCTCCAATGGACTACCATTATTAGGGTTCCGTACCTAAAAAGGTAAAAAAGGAACCCTTATAAGATCACTTTCTTGTCCGTCTGTCCGTGTGTCACCACCGATTTTCTCAGGAACGGGTAGACCTAGCAAGTTGAAATTTATACCAGATACTGAGGTCAATGAGGCAATATAAAATGTTTTTACACAGTTTGTAGAATCTAGATAACCAGAGTTCTATCGTAAAGGCATAAATGAACTTCCGTTTAGATGGCAGCAATATATAGATTACATCACATCACATCAACAGCCTATAGTAGCCTCCTTAGAAAGGAGGCTTTGGCCTACTATACCAAGCTGGCCAGACGGGTTTGTAAAGGGTTTGTTTCAAGTTTTCCTTCTCTCTGTAGTGCTGTTGTCCTGCGTAGTTTGCTCCCTGAGTCGTCTCTTACGATACCCACGGGATGAATTGGGGTGGTGACACTCCATATTCTTAATCCGTCACCACACGGATATAGATAATGAGGGTAAATATTTTGATTAACTACATATAATCATCTTAGAAAAAAACGAGTTTCAATTCTTCAGTACAAATCAGCAATTTCATACTCTAACCTCTGATAGTTACTCATGAATAATGGTCAGTAGCATTCATAAGTATGGTGCTGAATGAGTTATATTCTGTGAACTCTACACATCACATCAGTTATATTTATTTTTAGTATAATAAACACTTACTTGCAAATAAGTGTACAGACTTAAGAATATAAATAGGCAAGTTAATTATATTAGATTTTTCTATATCTGTATAAATTATTTTCAACACAGACAGCATTATCTCTTTCAACTGTTCATGGCTTCCTTCGTCACCTGAAAATTTATATATCGGCTATTGAGTAAGTATTATAAGTATATATATATTATTAAGTATACATTTTGTCAATGTAGTTCTAAGCAAAAAAAAAGTTCTTCAAAAGTTTTTAATTTAAAAGAGAGCAAAATGACTGTTTGATTAAGGGCAGAGTTCATCTGCAAAAGTTCTTCACATGAAGAGGGAATTATCTTGTGTAGCAACCTTTTTACCTGAATGTTGAGCTATTACATCTGTCTCAGTTCAAAGAGGCTACAAGGCTACAAAACTCATACATTCAAGTAATATGTCAACAGTCCAGTGTAGCATATGTGGTATATAAAAAACAGTTTTATGGCATTCATGTACCCTGTGAGGCACTGAAATGGGGACTGTTAACATGTTAAGAAAAAAAAGCATAGAGTGCCGATCCTTATAAAAAGTCAGTCTTATTGAAAAATGAGATTCTATTGGTTATCACTTCTCTGTCTGATCTATGACTGAGCTTTGTTTATCAATTGGCATTTAATTGTTTAACCCCAAAAAATCAGTACAACACTTTCAAAACATATTTTCGAAAAAACAAAATACTTGACTGTATGAAAATGTATAGGTACTTTAAATTTACAAACAGGCAATTTAAACTTTTATAATTTTCGTACACTCATTTCCATCAGGTGACCCGTCTGCTCTTCTGACCCCTCTAACATAAAAAAAGGAGCATTGAGACTTCATGTTGATGCCCGACTGCTCAACTAATGTCAAATTGAGCAGTAGGGAACAAGCACACGCCAACGTGTAAATACGTTGCAAACAAGCGAGCTTCCTTTGATCTGTGTTAAAAAACCGACACTAGTCCCGATTGACGACGAGCATACGCGAGTCGAGCCAAATACGCCGTTTACATTCTTGTATTCGTGGATACTTGTCGAGGCCCGCCATGCGTGTAAACAGCCTATAAGACTATAGAGTGTGCCAAAGACTGTACACTGGATACAGTAACTCTTTCTAGCACTGTACTAATAGGTAAAAATCTACAGGTTAAATTTTTAGTTTCTAAGATTAATATTACATGAACGGTGAGTTGTATGGTTAGTGTATTATTTAGAATGTAAAATCTTAACAGCTTATGCCATTCCGATGAAAGTTATAGCAAAAATTGACATACATGAAAATATCTTCATCCAAACTTTTATGCAAAACGACTAATTATAACTTCTTCTTATAGTGTTGATGGCAAAATGTTAAATGAATTTAGCCCAATGGTAGGCAATGTGAATGGTGTTGGACATTGTTTGATATAGGTCATCAAGTATACATGATTCTGGGCCCGTGGAGATGTTAGCAGATGGCTCATTGTCTACATTTCGACTAACTAAATATATTAAAATTCCATAAAGCATCACATACTTTAATAGGTTCAATTTTAATTTTTCAATTTAAAATGTTAACATGTAATTATATCACTTTTAGCTTCAATAAATTGTTACACTCATAAATTTTATGTAGGAATTAGATTAATTAAAATTTGCTCACCATCAGACATAAATGATTTCACTATGTCCAAAAAGAAGTTATGACTCTGTGGGTCTACGTGCTGTAATAATTCAGTAAGCTGCATTGAAAATACTTGTCCTTCAAATAAAGCAGGCTGTTTTAAAGCAGTCACCGCATTTCTAAATATAAGCTCCTTCATTTTTTGAAGAGCATCCATCACACTGGGAGTTTTTGATAGTTCGTAACCTTGCATGTTTTGCAGTGAACTAAATAAGTAGGGAAAAACTTGTTTTTGCACCACATGTTCCTTAAAAACCTTACAAGATTTAGGTACTACACTAGATTCTACATCAGTAAGAAGTAATCTTTCAAATAAGCCTTGCTCTAATGCTTCTAAATCTATATAAATTCGCGGCTTGGTTGCTTCAGCAAGATCCTCCAAAAAAACTAACTGCCGAACTCCCATTAAAGCGTTAGGATTAATTGTGAAGTGGAATACATTCTCCACAATGTTATTTATTGCTTCCATATCTTCATCTTCTGTTACTTTTTCTTCAAGGTTTTGAGTGTTTATGTTTTCATCACCAGCGATTGTATCAACTGGGGTTGTTACTTCAGAGTCCCCCAAAAGTCCCGCGAAGGGATTGTTTGGTTCAGACATTATAAAGAAGTATTCGAAACTTGAAACGCACTACAAATTTGAATTATTTGATAATTTCAAAGCAATCCTCTTTCACGAATAATGTTAGTTACCATTTTGTATTCACAGAAACATATAATACTTTCCCTTAAATTGCTGTTCAGAAAATAAACGGAATATTAATCTTGTATTTTGTAAATTGCTGACTTATCACCAAATTGATAATAATGACATTTCGATTTTAATTATCATGATGACAGTTTCTGTTCAGAAACGGCTATTTTTGGTAATTCCATATGATAGTTTCAGTCATTGCTCAATATCACTACGATACTTTCAAAGCTTACATATACACATAAATCTTCTTAAAAATGTTAGTTTTATATTTTATTTAATATTTTATCATTATCATTACTAATGACTAATTTTTGCATGAAGCAAGAAATGATATTGCACTATGGCAACATTAATGAACTTGTTGACTGACTTTTCAAAAAATACATAATAAAAAATGTGTTTAAAAGATATTTTTTATAAAATTAATTAGTTATTTGATATAAAAAGCATATTTCATATTGAGGTTGACCCTTAAAACCTATTTTACAAAGTTCACTGTCACTGGAAATGACGATTTGATCACATAAATGGCGGATTTCCGCTACACTCACGCCTGCATCCAGTCGTGTTCATATTTGAAACTAAATATTTTTCGATCGCTTTGTTGTTCACCTGCAGTCGTCGTTCGAAATCAATATAGCGTACATACTCGAATTGTTTCGTCTTTATGCAGCAATGCTATGAAAGATTTACATTTTATATGGCGTATAGTAGTCGCACATAGTGATTCGTTCATTAATGTAAGATTGGTAACAATTAATTTATTTACTGGTTAGGCCATTTTATGAATGCGTGTCCCCTTTGTACATAAAGTGCTTGATCAGCTAAAGGAACTACCATACACGTGCTACATCCATCTACGCTACACTTTATTGTTTTTATTCGCGTTCTGAAGGAAATATGCGATGAATTCGCAAATCGGTAATCGTATGATATTCTTGATCCGTCTATTATAGCTCAGACCAAAATGGCGGCTATAATGGGCGCAGTATTAGCAATTTAAAAACTTGCTCCGTGACTTTTGCCGTGTTTAATTAATTGGAAAATCTAGTTTTATAATATTAATCTATAAGATAACATTAATTTTAATTTGTGCATGACATTATTTCGATCTCATTACATAAATAGGTACCTAGCTATTTATTTTATATTTTGCCTTTATAGGATTACTTTTGGTGTTGGTTAATAATTATTTCATTTTTTTTGCACAGACCAGAATATAACCTTTCTTAAAATTATAGTCTAAAAACAACATTTATCTTTTGTATAATGTTGCTAAATGTAAAAGCCGCGATGTTCTACGTACTTACGTAGATTTACATGCCTTATTTACACGTAGATGCCTACGATTTGTGTTAGTGTGTGTGAGCGTAATACGTCTCGTGACCTCGATTGAAGGGAAGGACACATAGATATCTTGCCGTTCTAGAAGGCTGACGTCATTCAAATCGTGGCGAGAGCGCAGCGCGCAGCAAGATATTATTGTGAAATGTGAACGGCCACCCACTGCTTGCTTGGCTGGCTGTATCTACCTAAATTACTCTTGAAAGTAGTGGCTATGAACAGTTATAGTACTGACTTCTGCCATACATGTCGAATTTCTATTTGCGCAACACCTAAGTAATATAGTGAATCTTGGAGACCATTCCCAATGCTTATTGTTTCGACGAACATTAGGTACAGTATCTACAAAAAAAACGAGATTTGTTCTCTGATTAGAGTTTTTAGTACACAACCAATCGTCTTATACGTAATAGTAAAGTTTGTTGTTTATCTATTTATTTTACGCAGACACAGGCGTGTCAAGCGTTATTGTAAGATGTTTTTGTGATTTTATGGGTAATTTTTTTACTAAACATCGTGGTAATAGATTTATATGTACTTTATTGTCAGGTTTCGTACTTTAGTTTTTGTTCTACTTATTAATTTAGATACAAACCTTTTCAATTTAATCGCGTAGTACGCCAAAATGGCGATGCCATGACAAAGATTAAAATTGCTTTATGTGACGTATGTTCCGTTTCCGTTCTCAATCTCTATAACATTAAATCAATATTTCTGTCCCTTTCTGACGCGTATGTAAGTCAACGAGCCATCGTGTATAGAGTTGCAAATACGATGTAGTTGAGTCACAAAGGATTGGCGATGACGTAAACTTCTTAATTATAAAGGGTTATAGGATTCGGACAATACTCTTAAACACAGGCATAGTTCGTCATAATAAGAGTTTAAAAGGTCCATTTTATTAGATTACGTCTGATAATAAGTTAATGTTGTATAGGTACATGATAGACGTATATAGACAAATATTTTGTTACACTCGTTCTGGCATGTAAGATCCACACAGTGCGCTTATTTTATAAACCTAATAAGCCCATTCGATTGGATCATATTCTATGTCGCATTTTTCCATTTTGTTTTAGATTACTGGCCACCCAAGGTTCAAGGATAACCAGACGGTCAAAATTATAATATCTGTTACACTACGCACACAGCAGAAAAATCTTAAGAGTTGATTTAATGTGTCCATAAATTTTCTGCCGTTCATGACTTTAAGGCATTATTGTTTTTGATCAATCGTTTATCTTGCAATACATAAGTCAGATTAAAGTTTATCTTAATTGATTATGGATATATAACTACGTTAAAAACATAAGAAACATAAGAAATCTCAAAATTTAATAAGTCGAAGATATTTTTATTTTTTTTTCTGCTTAGCCAACTGATATACAAGTGTGAATCAGTTGTATATTAGCACTGGATAATAGTTGACTTTATATCACGCAATTAATTCTGAAACTCGTTAAAAAACCAAATGTTAAATCTATAATTTTCTTTAATTTCAGAGATTCTTTCAAGATGACGGACTCTGTACCGAATACGGAAGTTGAAGATTTAGAAGACGGAGAGATCGAGAGTGAAGGTGAAGATGCCCCAGAAAATCGAACAGAGGAGAAAAATATAGAAACAGTACCGACGCTTGATGACAAAGTATCACTAGAAAAAACAGAATCCCAAGATTTTTATTACTCTAAATCAGGTAAGAAAAAGAAATCAAAATCTAGTAAAGGGGAACAAAAAAAAGACAAAAGTAAAAAGAATCGAAAGTATTCTAGTCCCACTGAAGATGACTTTGCTGGTAATATTGAAAAAGCAATTAGGAAAGCAATGAACAAAAATGATTGTGTTGAAGGCTTCAATGAAGACGACGTAGATGAACGCCGTAGACATAAAAAAAGAAAGAAGCACGATAGTAAGGAGGGTGGAAGTAAAAAGCGTAAAAAACAAGAGTATTCAGACGAGGTTGATGAAAGTGAGATGATGTGTGTTAGAGGTGCCTCCCCCGTGCATAGGCAATCACCAGTTGAAATGTATCCAGAAGATGACAGAGATTCGTATGCATCCGATAGTAGCCAGGAGTCTAGGGAGCAACCACATCACCGTCAACAGCGTCACAATAGATCTCAACGTGATCGTAACAAAAATAACAAAAATGACAGAAGAAGAGGTACTCATCCCTTGCAAGATCCCGATGGCGTCTGTTTGTATTATATGCAAGGTAAATGTCATAAGGGCGACGATTGCATTTACTCACATGACGCACAACCTCCACGAAAAATGGAGTTATGTAAATTTTATTTAATGGATTGTTGTGCTAAGAGAGACAAGTGTCTGTACATGCATGCCGATTTTCCGTGTAAATATTATCATACTGGGCTTCCGTGTATATACAAAGAAGATTGTAAGTTTGCACATGGAAAACCGTTAACTGATAACTTAAAAAATATATTACTGAAACACATCGAATCCGCTCCTAAAGAAATTTTAGGTGATTTTCCTAGGCTAAATAGAGAAGGGGCTTTAAAGATGATACAAACAACGCAAAATAAATTAGTACAACAATACTCTGAAAGTCAGGAACCACAAGAAAAATCCATTCCATCGCTCTTTGAGCTAAATATACCAAACCCCCAAAATACTCTAGATTCCTTGCAAAACAATCAATTTCTAAATGACAGACAAAATAAATTATCACCTAAAGTACGACAGTCACGGTGGCAAAATGATGCTTCTAATCAGAATTTCAATAACGTATCACAAAATAGTACCATGACGACCACTGACATATTAAGCATTAAGAATCTAAACGGAGTCTTAAGTCCTCGACAAATTGCCGATCTTACAAAAATGGGAATTGAAAATTTAGATCAGCTCGGCCAATTAACGGTGTTACAGCTTAATAGCATTGGATTATCTCTCAAACAGATAACTGAAATTCAGTTAAATACAATGAACATACAGAAGTTAGGACTAATAACTAACAACGAACCTCAACAGTATGTAAGTCAAACAACTGTAACACAAGATTTGGACTTACGAGTACCACCGGTAGCACCAGTATCTAACAGTGTAACTATTGCGGCTGATTTGCCAGGTCAAGACGTAGACATGCGATTTCATCCATCTGTATTACTGCCGCCAGCTGATGATAGTTCTATAAATAATGCAAACCAGGAGTTGCAAGCAAATAAAGATAACATGATTGACATAGATCAATATACAAAAGATGCTTTAAAATTTGCGTCTAAAGATAAAGAAAATATTGATATATCCAATGAAGCCTTTGACACAGATAAGCCTGTAATTTCGAACGAGTCTAAGGATGTAGACCACAGAGTCCTTCCTTTTTCGGATGAAGATCCGAGACTATTACACTCAGTTATAAAAGAAAATAGCTTAGGAAAAGAATGTGATACTGATATAAGATTTCTTCATCCAGAATCGTTGTTTAAAAATTCTGAAAAGAGACACCGTCGTTCAACTACAGATGATGAAGATAATAACTTACTGATTGATGAAAAATGGTATTCTAGTGATGAAGAAAAGGGCGTGAAAAGAAAGTCTCCAGCATCATCACCAAAACAAACACCCCCCTCTCCACAACTGCCTGCCCCTCACGTTATAGAAGCGTCAGCAGTACTTAGTAGACTCGGTGATCTCTCGAAAATAGATATTAGTGAAGAGGTCACAAAATTATTGAATACCATGAAAAATAATTTGCAAGAGAATAAAGTAGATAGTAATACTGAAGGAGCTGAATCACCTCAGAGATCAAGGGATCCTCGGTCTAGGCGATCTCCAGAAAAAGTAAGTGATCCCATTAAACCTATCACTAAAAAAACTCCCAAAGTGTCTATTTATGAGTGTGTAGATGGTGAGCCAACAGACGGCCGACGAAGAACTGATGTCGATTTGCGAAAGACTGACTTTAACCTTCCATCTTTTGGTGATACAGATCTGCGTCAAACTAGTGGTGACATTGATTTTCGTTTAGGATTACCTTTCAAACCTCTTCCAAACTATACTCCTGCATCTGAAATAAACGGATCGATTAATAGTCATCCGCCTATCCCATATAAATTAGTAACAATAGATATACCTCGACCCGATTACACAGATATTAGAAATAGTACTGCAAAATCCCAAGCTTTGGTTGATCCTAGATTAAGGAAAGTCTTTAGATTATCCGTCGAAGAATCTAACAGTGATAGTGAAAAGTCATCTAAAACACCTGCCGCTCCTGCGGGCCCTAGAATCGATCCGCGAAGAAAGCCTAAGGATGCTGTTGAATCTGTGAGTCAAGAACAAAAATCCAATTCCTTGGATTTACAAACTATTTTGCAAAACTCTAATTGGTATAAAGACTTAAGTTCAACTCAAAAAATATTTGTAAATCAACATTTAGCCCCTGTGACACAAATGATAAAGCAGTATCAACAAGAAAAGTCACCTGGAAAAATATTTGATTTAGGTGTAATTCAAGGTAACAGTGTTTTATGTAGTATACTTACAAATTTAGGTATCTCACTGGGAGAAAACGGTGAGTATTCTTATTTACCAAAACCCAAAGCACCCTTACTTAAAACGCCCATTAATTTCAACCAAAACCAATTTGTCATGAATAGTAATATGTCTGGACCACCGAATTCAATGGATGGTGGTAACATAAACTTGATGAATATGCCCATGGGTATAGGAGGTATGAATAATATGAATTTAGGTAATAATATGCACGGATTTAATCAGCCAATATCAGATCCTCGTGGAGGTCCCACACCTGGTTTATTAGGGATAGCTCCGAACATCCCGCATAATTTTAATAATAAGTTTGCCGGGCCCAATAATTTTGGAAATATGCCGTTTAACGGTCCAGGTCAAGGTAATGATTTTAACTTTATGGATGGCGAACAAAATTATCCTAGATTCCCTAACAGAGGAAACCATCGAGGGCGTGGCAATGATCGTTGGAATCGTGGTAATCCTGGTAGAGGTCATAGAGAGCGAAAAAATTTCAACGATCGAGGCAGTTGGAAAAATGATAGAAATTAGGTTTTGTATATTATTTGCGTACATAATGAAGTTAACGTAATAAATTATTTTAGGTATGTAGAAAACTCCTTCCACATGCAGCAAAATGTGATCAAGGTTATTATAATATTATATTAATGAGAGAGTCAGGTACACTGTATTTTATTATGTAAGCGTAGGTTACGTGTATACAGTTTTATGTACAAGGTTCCATTCATTGTAAATATTTTTCTATTTAGTAGGTAATTGATCAATTTCAGTATCATTTTGTCTTTGTAAATGAATTGAATGAAGTACTGAATTAAGTTTAATAAAAATTACTCATTATAAGAGCCAAATGTTTTAAGACTGAGTGCGTGCGTTGTAATTTGTTTTTAACATGACAGCATTACCTACTTACTGTTTCAAAACTTAAATAATGATTTCTGTTAGATCAATAGCTCTCAGTTTGTAATTAATAGTATGGCGTAGATATATGCGCGCAGCGCAGTAATAAAAGCAATAAGAATAAATACCTCCTAGATGTTGGAATGTGATTTGTAGGTATTGATTTTTATAAATTGTAATATTATAATCATTGAGACGGGCCTACTCAACTTTAAAATAAATTAATGTTTATATTTTCTTATGTCTTAATTTCAAAACCTATTTATATACCTATTTTATGTGCCTATAAATATATAATTTGCATATGTTCTAAAGTAGTGATCAGGTCAAAGAATAAATTACGTTAAATGTTCTCATTTTACGTAACTTCTATTAATGACTATGTTCAGCCATGTAAAACATTGTTAGCGTTACAAGTTAAAGAATAATGTAAGTATTTGGTTATTTTGAATGCAAAGTAAAATGAAATATTTTTATACAATATTTATTTTTTTAATTAGAACTGTTTAATGATTCCGGTTAGAAAGAAAGAAAATCTTTTGTTAACTATTTGTTGACATAATTATAATTTTCAAAATCCTTGCCTATAATCGTCAATAGGGCTCACATCTGTTTACTTAGGCCTAGATTATCATGTACCTTTTAAAATAGCAAAAATTTCTGTAAAATGACCTTTCGTATATCCCCTAGAGGAATTCAAATCATTTTCCTAAACCAAAATTATTCGAGGCCTAGTACAGAATAAATTATTTCATGGATTTCGAAATACATAGTCACTGATTAGATGTTATCGTTAATAAAACTACGGAGCCGGTAAAGTGTAGATTTACCAAATCCGAAAAAATAGTGTTCTTAGTCACAACGCCTATTAGTAGATGATTATCTAACGTACCTATGTACCTACGTACATTACTATCGTGATAAAAGGTGATGAGTTTTAGTTTCGTAAGTAATAAAATAAAGGTTACATTTTTTTCTTATCAGCAGCACGAGTATAATTTTTTATCGTATTGTGACGTCCTTATCACTTATTCGATTTCTTATGCCAAATTTATGTAGGTGATTCTGCGTGTCATCAATGAATGAATGAATGTATTTTAGTTATCGACGGATGAAGATGTAAGTATATTAAGAAAACCAGACGTCGTGTAATTACTTCTCAGTTGTCTTTATTTATTGATTGGAGAATGGAGGTAATATAATTAGAGAAGTCTATTTTTAAGCGAGAGCCACCAGTTTTCAAATTTATGGTCACTTGAGAAACTTTTGAAAATGTGTGGGCTGAAAGAAATTATAAAATAAACAAGTAAATTAAAATATCAAGAACAGCAGTTGAAGTCGAATGATAAACTGTTTTAAATCTTACAAAGATTTAGTGAGACCATTTCTTGTTGATCATCTCGATCTTCAGTACAATTGTAGAAGAGCACGCACTGCTTTGCAGACAGTTTTGGCTGAGATACAAAGTAGTTGTAAAAGAGTTCCATTTCCCTAGATGCAGTCTGTGCAGTGTTCGGCGAACATACCAAAATAACTCCTTGTACTCCAAGTCTAAGTGCAGGCCAGCACGATTCAAACCTATAAAATCATTAAAAAAAAAACGGTTGAGTAGACACCTAAGTCAGAACTATGACATGTGGATTGCAAAATGCTTATGCCATATTTTGGTAAAATAACATGAAGCAATATTTTAAACTTTCTAAAAACGATGCAATTTACTGTAGTCAGTAAATTGCTAAATGTTTACATTATATGGTTATTAAACAGAGAAATAATGAAAGGTAAGATTGCTTAAGATACGATAGGTTGAATCATCTGGCACTGTAGGACCAATCGATAGGTACAGTAACTAGATTTGTTATGGTAGCGTTTGCGGTGAGGCATTTCGCCGATGGATGGCGCTTTATAAATAATTTCTGAATCACTACATATGTTAGAAGTTGTGGCTTTTCTTTGTCCACACAACTGCGGGACAGATGTTTATATACCAATAAGTTACCTGTGGTCTCCGCTACAATCCCAAAGTTCAATGTCAATGTTTGTAGTTTTACCATTAACGTTCAGATTAGAAAGTTCAAATTCGACAATTCTGACTCCTTGGGTTGGCCGAGGGGTGTCTGCTTCTTCTATGTTTATTGAGTCGGAAATGAAGTTAGCTATATGTGTTTTACCACTCTAAAAATTGTTAATTCAGGAAATAAGTCAGAATATTTTTGAATATAAGTACTTACATAGGTAGCAACTTAACACTATTGAGCTATACTAACGAGGTACATTAATATGATGACCCTGTTACATTCTTAAAGTAATAATTATTATAAACAATGTAATACCTCTGACGGACCGATCATCAGTATTTTTAACTTATTCGGTTGCATTGTTCTTATCGTTACGTACGCTGTATGTGCCTGAAACAGGAATTAAACACTGAAAGAAAAGCCTACAAGAAACACAAACGTTTTACACAGATACACGTACTAATAGTAATAATAATGTAGTTGAGGCAATGCAAGTTAGACAACTCGTAGACACTGATTATGTTGTGTTTATCCATTACCTAGCAACACAAACACATCATTTAGCGTAGGTACATTGACTCGTTTTCTATTACATTATGTGACTAATGGAATATCTAAGCATAGTTTAGATAACAAATAAAGAAATTTAATTTAGACAATAAGTAATTTACATACAAAAAATCATACAAAATTAAACTTGCAATTCTTTCTGTCTTCGTGTAGTACCTAACAATTGAATTACAAAAACAGTGTTAAGAAGAAGGAAAAACCTTTTAACTATGTACGTTAATTTAACTTATAAAAATATATGACATATTGTTATCTAATTAGACGAAAAATGTATGATCGTTTATATCGCACTTGATCCTAAACTCAGAAATATAATTGTATAAATAAATTTGAATTTCCATATCCAAACATGAATACAAATAAATAATAGATAACACTTTGAAAAATGATGAGATAAAAGTTAGGTCCCACCGAGATTTGAACTCGGATCGCTGGATTCAGAGTCCAGAGTGCTAACCATTACACCATGGGACCTCTGAATTTATAGATGAAATTTCAGTCTCCTAGCGACTAAATACAATATTTTGTTTTATAATGTAGGTGAAATAGAGCCGTTATCCTAAAACTAACTATGCGAGCATCGAGAACTCGAGATTGACGAATGACACAAATATGCGGCTTTTGTCTAGTAAATTCATTTTCAAAGTGCCGTACTGCGGGTATAAGGACTCATAAAATGTTATTGGTTGAAATCTTAAATATTTTATTTCTTTTAACACCAAGGAAATAATGTTCTTGGTATCACAGATCTAGAGCTTTGATAGCATTTGCTTCGTAAAAAGGGGAGGTTGACGAATCCAAGCCCTTAACTGCGGACAGGCGATACCATTAAAAACCAAAAGAAGAAAAAAGAAGTACTCAACGTACCTGTACATATGTATCTATATTACAATTTATGGACAGTGCTTAACTAACTATATCTTTCAAATTATCTCATTTTACACACCTTTAATTGAGTATCCCGAGTCTTCATTAATGTTGTAATTAATTATCTTATGATGTAGGTTATATTTCGTAAATTGTATTTGGTTACTATAGATCTTTTTATTAGATCGTTTATAATACTGAACACACTTAAACTTTTATTTTTTAAACTAAGTATTTTTTTTCTAGTCTTTCATTCATTTGTTGTAAGAAATGTAAATTATTATCATACTGTCTTTATACCCATTTTAAATATGCGCTAGGTATTCTATATCTTTTTTTACAGTGATTGAACCCATTAGCAAGGATGATATCTCAACACAAACACGAATGGGGAGGATTGTAACGGTAAAGCACAGCTTGACAGGCCTGGTAGCTATTACTAATGATTGATTCCCGCTGAGTAACATTAGAAGATTTACAAGTGATATAATTTTGTACGGTTTTCCTTAAGTAATCTTTCCAAGATAGTGAACAAGAAAACCGCACTTACAGCATATCACGCTTTTGTTAAATCTACATTGCGATATGGTGTTATATATTGGGGCAATTCAACAAACAGGGAAAGTAATTTCAAAGCCCAAAAAAGATGTGTTCGAGCGATATGCGGCATACAGATGACTGATAGCTGTAGACCTCATTTTTTGGCCCTTCATATATTAACATTACCTTGTTTATACATATATGAGATGGTAATGTTTATAAGGAATAATTTCTATCTTTTAGAGACTTTAAATAGTGCACGACATAATCATAAAATTAGTTTTACCCTACATAATAAAACGATATTTAAGAAAAACCTACTAGGAATGGCACCTAAAATATATAACAAACTTCCAAAATCTTTCTTACAAATTGCAAATAATAACATTTTTAAGACAGAACTAATGAGCCTGTTGGTTAATAAATTTATTATACAATAAATGAATACTTAGCGGACAAAATTTGAAAAAAGGAATGTAAAAGGAAATTATTGTATAAAGTCAGACTAGACAAATACGTAAAATAATATATTGTCTGGTTTTGAATTTAATTTATAAATATTATGTATAAATATGTTGACAATTTATGAAATTATGTTACATTTATAATTTTTCTCTATTGTTATTGGTGTAATTTTGCCTGTTAAACCCTATTTAACTTGTATTTGTATCTTTTGACATATTATTATTTTGACAACGCGTGTAGTTTTAAATATCTAACTGTTTCCATGTGTAATTTTGTTAAACTTTTCTACACATATTGTTTAATTTTATTACATCGGTACATATGTATCTACTTATTTAACTGTGTGGACCATTTAACCAGGAAGTTTATCGTAAATTTTTGGTTTGTTACTTTATCTAATTTTTTAACAAGTAGAACCACAACTGCTGAACAAAAACTTCACGAGTGCCAATCAGTGGTGTAAATCGATCTATTCCAATTAAGTTTGCCGCCAAAAAATGTCCAGATTCACTCACACACTCCATCCACAGATTGCGCTATCTTCCGCAGTCACGAACAATTTACTCAGAAGGCTGTAAAGTTAGTGCCAGAAAAGGCTTTCTTTTTAACGCTATGCACTGAAAATGGTTCGAACATAATAAACAAAATTAAGTTAGGATAAAAAAATATATATTTTTTATTATACATGTAGAAAATTGGTAAAACTCACGGAGCACCTTCTTGTGAAATACTAGTAAATCCTTAATTTTCTGAGTTGCAGGTTTGCTTTATAGTAGGCGCTAGCTATATTTTTTCAAAATTTACTGCTATGAATAGAAGACCAAATCAGAGTGACTTGCTGTCTCATGTGAGTATTATCTTCGTATTTAATCTAATATCATGAAGATAAAAGTATAATTTTACATATATTTCAGTATAAAATTCAATCTAATATATAAAATTTGTGTCCTTCTACCTTAACCCCAAACAAATGTGAATAAGATATAAAATAGATTTAGAGTAGTATTAATTCAAACAGTTTATTATTATTATTAAGTATCCTTCTTTAGTTAGTTTTTTTTTTCTCGTTTGATTGTAATTAGTTTACTACTTTTTACACTACTACATTACAGTAAATGCTATGTACACCTTAATTGTCATACATATCAGGTATAATGCCACGTATTGTCAAAACTAGTTATAAGTATAATATGTATGATGTGGTAGTACTTATTAATAAATAAATAAATAAATAAATAAATAAATATAAAAATCTCGTGGCACAGTGTTTGTTATCGAACTCTTTCGAAACGGCTTGACCGATTTTAATGAAATGTGTATATTTGGTGGGTTTGAGAAACCCGTGGGTGGCGCGGGTGACCCTCCCTGGTTTTTTTTTAAATTCTAAATATGTTAGTAAAGTCAATGAAGTACATTGGCTTAAGAAAATGAATGGTTATTGTTTTGTTATTTTTATAGGCCGTCATCGGCCACAGTGCTCAATTCTCTTTCAGTCATACCCCCTATCCGCACATACTTACAATAAATTAGTTATTTTTTATTAAACTACCAAAATATTCAGTAGAAATAATTTATATGGCAAAACAGCGTGATGCGGGTCAGCTAATCATCCATAAAACTATTGAATACGTAGGTACAACGAAGTAGGAATTCTGGTTGAATTTTCTTATTCACCTTTACAGAAATAACTTATCCAATTCGAAATAACTTATCCAAATCAAGTTGAACATCGTAGGGTATTTTAACTAAATACCCTGATAAATAATATTCTTTTTACCTATAATATATTCCAGATGGGAGACACCAGTTGCAGCAGAAATCTGCAGGGACCTAACTCCTTACTTAGTTTGAACTACTGTTGAGATTGTGACATTTAGTTAGATAAAAGCGTTAAAATCAAATATATCAACTTTCTCAAGCCATCTATTTACTCCATTACCTAACGGTATCTAACCTTGCGGTCTGCCGTCAATCCAGTGAAAGCATTCCAACGCTTTGCATAATCCTGTTGCGTAAAACACATCCCCGTTATAATGGATCCTAAGATTAAACTTTTGCTGTCATTTTAGTAACCGTATTTCTAGGGATATGTCTCTAAATTGTTAGCTTTTATCAATCGGCTCTCTCTTATTGCAATTAACTACCAGTTTTCAAACATATGATAACTTCAATTTGCTTCCCTGCACATTTCTTGCAACTGGATATTCAGCGCTTCTTTTAAGCGTTGTTACTTTCTTAGAAAACGGTACTATGTATATATATATATATTCTATACTCCATAGATAGCCAAATGGCTTTGGATGGCGGTTAACTGCAATAAAAATACTGTGAGAGGTTCTTAGAGCAAGATCGGAACCTTGACCAAGACTGAAATAAAGATTATCTTTGCGTAGCATTATTTTCTGTGTTTTCTGGAATGGAAATACACCCAGGGACCGGCAGGGGATGCGATTATGCTATGGATGCATTAAAAAGGATATCTGTTCGATTCATCCTTACGCATCCTTATTATGGTAACCCTCTATAGAGTTATTGTTGGTTTGTACAAAGTAGATAATGTAAATTACCACATTTAAAAGCAAGAACTGTGGTACTTAGGTTAGAATTTGTAACGAGTCGTTAAATCGTCATCGTTTTCATAATATGATTTTTTAATTGTTTAAATGTGTATATTATAAAAATACTATCTGAATTTAGGCATAATAAATATGAATGTCAATTTTAAGTAATATAGAATTTGCGAAAAAATGCTCGAAAATATAATGATTGTGGATATTTAAATAAAAAATATTTCAACGAAATTTGGCTAGTGGACCAAGGAATGATTTTAAAGAGGTTGGGCTTATCACCAAAGAGGGTGAAAAGTAAAGGTAAAGCAATAAACTATTTTATTATTTTAGAAAATCGAGACTGATGTGAAAACATTATATTTCACTGTCACTGTATCGTATAATTTAAAAAATATAAAAATTAAGACCCATTATCTACAGATATATTGTAAAGGTTTTAACTTAAATTATAAACTAGCTGAGACTTTATTGTTATAACCGCGGGCAACGCCGCGGGGCGAAGCTAGTCTAAAAAAAGTAGCCTAAGTTACTCCTTATGTCATCAGCTATCTGTCAGTGAGAGTCCCGTCGAAATCGGTCCAGCCGTTCCACAGATTACCCGGAACAAACAGACAGACAGATAGACAGACAGACAGACAGACAAAAATTGAAAAAAATGTTATTTTGGCATATGCACCATGTAAACATACATATGCATTTAGTAAAAAGCGGTTATTTTAATATTACAAACAGACACTCCAATTTTATTTACGAGTATTTGTATAGACTAGCTGAGACCCGCGGTGTTACCCGCGTTTGTTGTTATAACCGCGGGCAATGCCGCGGGGCGAAGCTAGTCCAACAAAAGTAGCCTAAGTTACTCCTTATGTCATCAGCTATCTGCCAGTGAAAGTCCGGTCGAAATCGGTCCAGCCGTTCCAGAGATTACCCGGAACAAATAGACAGACAGACAGACAGACAAAAATTGTAAAAAATGTTATTTTGGCATATGTACCGTATAAACATACATATGCATTTAGTAAAAAGCGGTTATTTTAATATTACAAACAGACACTCCAATTTTATTTGTTTGTATATTTGTAGATGTGAGTTCGTTCGCCACGCCTTCACGCCACAACCAAATATCAAGATTTCAAAACAAACAAAACAACTAAAGCTAAAACTGCTCAAGTTTTGTTTGCTTAAGCAAAATGCCCTATATCATATGGCATCGAATAAAATACGGTTTTTAGGCATGTTAATATCGTAAATATTTTCAGGTGAGATAAACTAAACAATTCTGATATTCTGTTTCCTTTATTTTCAAATCTTATGTACATTCATTAAAACCATATTACGCACCTTTTCGGCCACTAACTCCAACTGTAAGCTTCTAATTTTGCTTGTTCTCAGCCATTATCCTGTAATTTGGAAAGACGATTTTATTGATCTTTCCATAGTTTCTATTATCGATTAAAAAGAATTATATCTATTTAACTGGCCAGCGCTAGAGGTTGTGGGTTATCTCTTCGGACACCCCGCGAACCACCATCAGGGTGGTTACGTCGGATTCGAACCAACTAAAACCGCACACGCATCAGTAATTGTGTGATGGTCAATTTCTCTTTGTCTGGTTGTAATTCGTCTAAGATATGTATGTATTTAGAAATGTATGTATTTAAGTATATAATCAGCAGTTTGGTAAACATAGTATAGTAACTAAGAAGATTTAGTTTGGGATCAGACGGCC